GCGGGCTGAGGCTGGAAGCCAGTAACAGCAGAGGGGCCGGCATTGACCTCCCCTGGTTTGGCAAACTCATTGGTTGTCCTAAGGGTGCTGGATCAGGGAAGTCCAGAGCAAGGTTTGATTCAGTAGGGGCCTTATCCAAAACCCACTGAAGTCATTGGAAAGACTCCCATTGACTTTGGATTGGGCCCTCAAGAGGCTAATTCTTCCAACCCTGGCTTACATGACTAGTCCTTTTTCAAAGGACTAGTCCCATTGTTCATGCAAGGGTGGTAGCAATTTATGGCTTCACCTTCCAAAGCTTTACTCTCATGAGTTTTCCAATCTAATCAAGCCCACTTGTGCACTTGAGGGACTTATTGCCCTTCGTTCTAGCACCGTCTGAGGCAGGCCCATAAGAATTACTATGTGGAAACTAAGGGCCTTGGGGCCTGCATGCCTTGAGCAAACTAGACTTCTGCTGAGTTCAATGGGAATTTTGCCTGGATTCAAAATATGAGAAAGGGAATAGCAGCATTATGTGACTTCCCCTCTAGTAGTCTTCCCTGGCCAAAACCAAGATGGCTCTTGGTATCTCACCTTTCTAGTGAACATGGAATACCAGGGGGAGAGTTTTCTAAAGCCAGTCCTGTAGGCCTAACTCTGCTTCCTTTGAAGTCAATGGTAACATCAGTGGAGGTGAAGATGGGTCAATACAGGAAGCTTTGGAAAAACCTGCCCTAAAAGTCAAGTGATAAGGTTTATTTAAGCAGGACCAGGGCTCTATGCTGCTGTTCTATGTTCATTGATGTCTTGCAGCATCTTGCCGTTTATATAGATGAGTGTAGGCTCAGATTCATGGCCATTTATCTCCCATCAATCACACAGGCCTGACGAATCTTGACACCTTCCCCCACCCCAAACTTCCCATATGCACCATTTCAAGTGCCTCTAATTGAACTTGACACATTGGATCTTTTTTGCCAAAAGCTTGCGTTTGCAAAAAAAAGTTTTAGAATAAAATGATAGACCATCCCAGCGTGAACGTAAATAGGGACTTGGATTCAAAAGGCAGGGGTGGGTGGAAACAAAAGGCCCACATGCTGCCCTTCGGTTGTAAAATTCTTACTCTTATTTACCACAGAGTGTATAATGTTGCATGGTGGTTGCATAGCAACAAAATAAAGTTTATCTGTTGCAGGAAATATGAGTGTTTCTCAGAGTATAAGGAAGTCTATTTTCTACTGTTTACTGCACTTATCATGTCTGTTGCAATGTGGACTGTGTCAGATGTCAATTACCAAGCAATTTCAGAAAGACTGTTTATTTTAGATAATATAAATGTTACTCGAAAGATAGGGGCATAGTATCTTATGTTTACATGTTTAAGGTCTATTTCTAAAGTTTAGAAGATGCAGTTTCCTGTCCTTAACCCGCTTAATTTAAGGAAGATCCTGTCGTGTGGTGGCCTAGAGAAATCTGGATGGTGGAGGAAACAGACGTTCCTTGTTGGGTTTAATTAACTGTTTCCAGGTTCTTGCTCCAGTGGGATAATGGGCTTGTGCTGTTTATCTCCACACTGACCGGCTCTCCAAGTTCAACACTGATAAGGCGCCTTCATAAAGAGTGATTTTGGAGTCAAATGTTAAGAGTCTGCAGGATGAAGTTAATGCATTTGTCGTAAGTCTTTCAGTTAAAAAAAA